ATCATACATTACCCTTTGTCCCTAAAAAAGATTTTCTTTTTCCCATCTTGTTTTATACCTTTATAACTTTTTCCCCCCTTTTCCCTTTTTTTCTTGGCCCACCTAGACTTTTTACCCACTCCTCTCCAAACCTCTGCCTTCTTGGCTTCCCCTTTCTGTTGCATTCTTCTTTCCTTTTGCTTTCTGGCATTATATTGTTTTTGCATCTTATTTTTCTCTTTCATAGATATTTTTTTATGTCTTAAGCCCTTCCTTTTCCCTCCTCTCTTTCTCCTTTCTTTCTTAATCACACTATTTAATTCATTAAAAATGGCTTCTTCCTCCGCTTCTTCCAGCTGTTGTTTAATTTGCTGACACATAGCAAGTGCCATATCTAGAAAACAAAGGGCTTCTCCCATAGCATCCTTGCCTTCTTTCCTTATTTTTAGATATTGTTTTTTTAGTTCATCGAGAGGTAGAGCCATTATAAACTTTTTCTTCTTCTTTTTCTGTATCCTCTTCTTGTTATTAAGCCAATCAAATATTTCCAAACTTAAAACAATTCCCCAAAATCCCAAAGTCCCAAAGTCATCAAACAGTCCAGGGAAAGCACAAACTTCTTCCTTTTACAGTTTCTCTTCCTGGGGTAAAGTCAATTAGGGAAAAAAAAACCAATCTGTATTTTAAATCTTTTTTGCAGTTAGTTTCTAATCTCTTTATCTTCAAAGCATCTCCTCCAACAAAGTCTTGGAATATTTTTTTTTTCCAAGCCTCTCCCTTCCCACTTGTAACAAAGGGCTTTAAATTTTTACCTTCTGTTAGAGAGCAGATTTTCCATGTCCATTTGTTAGTTCCATAAGGGAGGGAGAGTAACTTTATCTTTCAACACTTTCCTTTGCCACTGAGAACCTCCATTAGAAACATTGTAGCATCCAAAAAGAATAGTAATTTTCCAGGTATTAGATATGTCCTTAAAGTCCCGGTTCAGCCAAGAAAAACTTTCATTTTAAAACTTCCTTCTTCTTCCTCCTGCACATTCTTAATCCAGTTGCCAGCTTCTTCGTGGTGGCCATTGAGACCGCCGCTCCACCGCCTTGAGAAAAGGGGGTTATTGCCGGCTGGGGAGGGGGTCTGCAATACCCCTCAACCCCTGTCCGGATCCCCCCTATCTTCAGCTACCCCAACAGGGCAGCCTTATCCTCCAGATCTGTCAGGATCGGAGGCACCAAGATGGCTAGCACAGCAGGGATCGCGGAGAAAGCGAATCCCTGCAGTCACCGAAGCCTGGCAAACCGGAAGAGAGATTGTGTGGTGGCCATTTCTGACCACCGCTGCAACCGCCTTCAGGAAAGGGAGTAATGGCCAGCTGGGGAGGAGAGATGCGGCTCTCCTC